TACAAGTAGAAAATGTTGAACAAAAGGCAAGTGCAGTGCACTCCAATTGAACAACAAAGCATAATCACATTAAAATTACCACCAGGAGATAATTCTGAAAACAAACCGACTTTTAATCTGGAGTTATTTACATCTACAATGCGTAATATTTCCAACAAAAGGAATAACATAGCAATTATGGTTTTAAAAAATAAAACACCAAAAGCACTTGTTTCCATTTCAGACATTCCCGAGATACCTCGATGTACTCTCTTTATAAAAAAAACGCACGTTGGAAATTATGTATTGTCTAAGGATTACAGTATTGTGCAAGACATTCATTTCTGTCACTATTTGCAAGTACAGATTTTGTTAATACAGTGCATTATCATGAGTCGATTTCAACTAAGGAGCAACAGTACCCATTCCCACTTCCTCTTCGCTCCATGGCCCCCCGACGTTCACAGTAAAGTATAATGAAACCCTCTGTGTCCACTTTGAGGCAGATCCAATGAGCTGCCAACCTCCCTCCCCACACGACTAGGTTGTTTCAAAGGGTGGTGAAAACGCCCAATCCCTATCCCATTTTGCTAGCCACGATTTGAGGCTCAAAATCCAACCCACTCTTAACCCGCGAGACAACCTTGTCTTAACATTATAAGTTGGCGCTAAATTATGCAGAATTTTTGCGCAGACTAAGGCAAGGTGGAAGGAATCTCCTGCCTCTGAATCGTAACTGCCATTTGCTTGGGACAAATGGTCCCCAACTCTTTGTCGGCTCTTCTTCTTTTCTCAACACCATTCTCCCACACAGAGTCACTCCACTTTGCAGCGTTCCCTGCGAAGTGCTCCAGGACGTCCTCCTGACGCGAACCAATTGTAAGGGTTATTAAAAAACTTTTTTTTACATAAAGGAGGCCTCCATGTTTAACCAGAGAGGGAGAAAGTAATAACTTGGAAGAGCTAACAGCGTAATTATAAGGCACAGCTATGGTCACACGTCCCTTCTTGCTAGACATCAGTGTGAGGGGTTTGTTGGAGCTTGCTGGATTGAGGGTTGAGGATTTGGGTAGAATTATGGTTTATTATTCGCCAAACTGCTTGCCCTGTTATTAGTAGAGTTCTCACCCGTACCAAACTCTGCATGTCCATCATTCCAATCCCTCGCCAGGCACGCCATGACTCCAAAACGATCGATTCCAAGATCCTTACTCTCACACACAAATTCCTTCACATCCAAGCACCTCCCTACCTCTCTCTGATCTGCTCGTACACCACTCGCCCAACCCTTTTCGCTCAGCTAATACAGTGCCCTATACACGATCATTCGTGGCGGAACCACCAATTGTTATTGTTTTTAGTGATTGGGTTTAGTGAATACTGTTGCATTGGATAAGTTGGGAGTTACTGTCGCAGGATTCACATTGAACTGTAATACACAAAGCGGTCATTAGGTGGCAGCACCACACTGCCCATTCTGAATATGATACACTACCTCAAGCCAAGTCCCTGATCTCAATCTGAGTGGAAAAATATTTCTGGGTCACAATTTTGCTCTTCCCCCCAACCTCAACTTATATAATAATAATAATAATAATAATAATGCTTGCATTTGATATAGCGCTTTTCACGTCGGGAGGACGTCCCAAAGCGCTTCACAGAACACACTGTAAAGTGAATTGACTGTATATTTGTGGGCAAACGCGGCAGCCAATTGCGCACAGCAATGTCCCACAAACAGTCGTAGATTGAAAATGACCAATTTATTATTGTTTTTGGTTTTTGGAGGGATTATTATTAGGCTCTGTGTGGAATAAGGAAACTTGCCCGAGGTTTCGCCCTCTGCCTGGAATTGAACTCTGGTCTCTCGTTTGCAAAGCGAGTGTTCTAACCACTGAGCTATCGCGCCCCTCAGGGGCATCCTAGAATGTTTGATGGTGGTGGAGCACGATAAGGCGGGGGGGGAGGTGACCATAGGGACGGTTGAAGAGAAAGGACATCGACGGGACCTGAAGATGGGGAAGGAGTGGGGCAAGGCAGAGGGATAGAGGAAGAGTGTTCCAGAGTTTCGGGATAACCCGCCCCCTCCCTCCCGAATCTGCAGATCCAGCCCACAAAAAAAACCTATTAAGCACTGAGTTAGAACATACTCCAAGAGTGGAGGTGGGGGGGGGGAGAGCTACAATAGGAAAAAGTGACTGGTTCAAAAACAATATGGCAGTGTGCAAGCTGAGAGCTGGTGGAGGCATTGCCACCTCGTGGCAGTTTGCTGCCTCGCACCATGTGTCGTCTGAATCTCACTTGTAACCAGTGCCGAGCAAGTGAGCAATGTGCACAATAAACCTCACATAACAACAACTTGCACTTCTATATCGCTCTCCGCCCAGGGTAGCATCTCAGAGCGCTTAACATTTGCGGAGCCTGGGGGGGTGGGAGGTGGCCGTAAGCATGGTTGAAGAGGAAGGTTTTCAGGCGGGACTTGAAAAAGGGGAGAGCGCGGACAAGGCGGAGGGATTAAGGGAGAGTGTGCCACAGTTTTGGGGAGTAGTGGCTGAAAGCGCAACTTCCGATGGTGGGGCGGAGGGTACCAGTTGAGCGGAAGTGCCGGGTGGTGGATTGGGTAGTGAGGAGGTCGGAGAGGTAGGCAGGTGCAGGGATTTAAAGAACAACGACAACAACAAAATTACATTTGTAAAGCGCTTTTCACGTCGGGAGGACGGCCCAAAGTGCTGGACAGACAGAGTTACGGACCCGAGCTGGGGGGTCGGGGTGGGGGAAGGTGGAGGGCAGGGGGGAAGCAGGGAGATCGAAAGCACGGTCGAAGAGGAAGGTCGAGTTGGGTCTTGAAGGTGGTGAGGGAGGGGGCGAGGCAGAGGGACTGCAGGATGGAGTTCCAGAGGGTAGGGGCAGAGTGGCCGAAGGCGAGCCCACCATTAGTGGGCAAGCGAGGCGGGGGACATGAAGGTGGCCGGAGCCTGCTAGGTTGTTAGGAGGTGAGCAAGACCATGGAAGGCTTTGAAGGTGAGGACCAGGATCTTGAACTGTATCCTCTGTGTGATGGGAGCCAGTGGAGAAGGATGGGGGTGATAGGGTCGAGGTGCCTGGTGCGGGAGAGGACACGGGATGCAGAGTTCTGGATGATCTGCAGCCTGTGGAGGGAGGAGTTGGGGAGACCGACAAGCAGTGAGTTTGCAAAGTCAAGCCTGGATGTAATGAGGGTTTCGGTGGCCTGCGGTGTGAGACAGCATCGGAGCCGGGCGACTTGCAGAGAGAAGGCAGAGCGGGTCATGGCACAGATGTGGGGTAGAAAGCACAGTGTGGGGAATAAATACGAGAGTGAGTATCTTGAAGTCGATGGGGAGCCAGTGGAGCCTGGCCAGAACTGGTGAGATGTGGGTATGGAGTCTGGTCCAGGTCAGTATGCGGGCGGCAGTTCTGAATGAGCTGGATCTTCTGAATAGTGGAGCTGGGGAGACTGGTGAGTAATCCAGGCGGAATGTAACAAGCGCATGCACGAGGATTTCGGCTGAATTTGGGGTTAAGGTACAGTCGACGTAAGTCGTATCAGTTGGGACCATTCATTTAATGTAACTTATGCAAAGTATGAGTTATGTCAAACTTGCATAGAACATAAACTCTTGAACGGGACTCAGGTGATCGTACAACTTAAGAGAGAGCAGACCAATGCGGGTTTTACTGTGGAGGTCACTGTGCACAATGGAACCAAACCTCTTGCAATCGTGAGTTTGTGCATCAAATTGCTGCTGTCAAAGTGTTTCACCATTGTGGCTTTCCCCCTCCATAGGCCACTGAAACAGTGACCAGTGGCATGGGTTTAACGTTCAATAATTTAGCAGTTTATGAAACACCCTAAGGTTAACCCAAAATCCTTGTCAGCCTAGACACCATTTCATCTTAAAATGTTAAGGTGGCGTAGGAAGATGGAGAGTTCTCAGGTTCAAGTCTCAATTCGTGGATGGCAATTCTTAAGGAAAAACAGCTTCCAAAATGAGAGTTTTCTTGCCCATTAAATTTTGAGAGGCTTTCAGCTGTGCACTGTGGAAGGAGTGAGTCTGAACAGCGAACTAGCCTTGCTCCCCAGTTTACTGTGTGAGTTCTTACACGGTCAGAAAAAGAGATGTACTGTCACCTCGCTGTGAAATCGGCTGTGCAAATGGGAATTTACCCCTAGCTCTAAGAATCAGCCGCCGGAGGAAAAGTTTGCAGCGTTCGTTAATTATTGCCACCAGAAGGCAGCACGCCCCTCTAGCGAAGTAGTTTATTCCTTCCTTGCAGCCCCCATTTTCTTAAAATGAATCTTTGTTTTCATAAATTTTAGACCCTGGCCTAGCCTCGCCTCCATGGTAATAATATAACAACAAAAATCCTTACAATTGATACAGGGCACTATCACGTCGTTGAGATGTCTCAAAAGCGCGTCACAGAAGATATAGTAAAATGAATTGACTGTTATCTTTTGTGGGCAGAACCCGGCAACCGGTGTCCCTTAAACAGTCGTGGATTGAATGACCTAATTTTTTGTAAGTAATTATTATCCCCCAGAAAGCGATCTGCCAATCGATTGACAACCGGGTTTCTACTTACTGCTAGGAAAACAGAGTAAGGAAACTTGTCTGAGGTTCCCCCCGCCCGGGAAATCTGGGTCCTCTCGCTTGCAAGGTGAGTGCGTCGGAGTCCTGTGGCTCAGTGGTTAGAGCACTCGCTTTGCAAGTGAGAGACCTGAGTTCAATTCCAGGCAGAGGGCGAAACCTTGGGCAAGTTTCCTTACTCCACACAGAGCCTAATAATAATCCCTCCAAAACAAAAACAATAATAAATTGGTCATTTTCAATCTACGACTGTTTGTGGGACATTGCTGTGCGCAATTGGCTGCCGCGTTCGCCCTCAAATATACAGTCAATTCACTTTACAGTGTGTTCTGTGAAGCGCTTTGGGACGTCCTCCCTACGTGAAAAGCGCTATATCAAATGCAAGGATTATTATTATTATTATTAGTGCGCTATTCACCATACTAGGGCATTCCACAATGATGGATTGTGTTTTATTTCATGATTATTTTTCTTCAGGACTCGAGCTCCACTCTGCCCTCTCGGCAAAAAGGTCTCGAACATCTCAACGATCTGAGGCCATGTATCAAATGCAAAGATTATTATTATTATTATCAGTGTCTGTCGACTCTCTGAAAGGATTATCTGTTCAGTCCCCTACCCGTCCCCTCCCCCCACATCTTTTTTCTTTTTTTCTTTTCCAAATATTGGTCTAATTCCCTTTTGTATGGATCGTATGGATTCTGTATGTCATAGGGTCCCAATAAGAGCCCCCCACCCTCTTTCTCCATACTTAAAAAAACACATTCTCTTCGCCTCTCTTGTTTACAATAATCATTGTAAACATGTATGGGTGGGGGGGGTTGGTTGCCCGCTTGTACATCACCCAGTTAACACTGGCGATAGTTAAGGAACGCCGCAAAGTTTCACCCTCCCTGAAGTCTACCACCTCTCCCTCTCGGTCATGTCTGCCTGTACAAGTTCGTTGGTGTGCTCTGGCTTGCAGGTGCTGTTGAGTTCGTTCAGTTTCACGTCAGCCATCTCCTCCTGCTTCCCGCACAGCTTCAAAGCTCGGGATATGAAGACGTCAAAATCGAACTGCGCGGCCCCTCTGCCCGTCATCTCGGTAGAACCCAGGTTCCGAGGGCTCGAGGGAGGACTCCTCTCCTGGATGTTGGGCAGCGAGCTGGAGCAGTCGATCTTCAAGGGGCTTCGTTCGCCCTTGCAGTCGGACACCTTCAGGAGGAGGTCGGACTTCCTTCGTCCAGCGAGACGGCCACACAGGAGGTGGTCACCGTCCGCTTCCTGTGCGACAGATCCAAGATGAGTTTGGGCTCCGAGTAGTGGTGGGGTTTGTTGTCTCTCCACAGCAGCCTGTCCAGGTAGGAGGGAGACCCGATTTTGTACTCGCACGAGCGTCCATAGTCCATCTCGCATGGTCGGTCCACCGAGGCATGGGAGCGCTCCAGTAGCCGCTCGGACACGCTCTGGGAGTACTTGCGGGGGTCGATCTGGACTTCCTCGGCCGCCCCCTTGGACATGGCTCGAGGGTCTCGCTGCACTTCATCTGGATTGTGGTACTTGTCTTGCAGCCACTCCAGGTCCGAGGACAGACTGGCCTGATACCTGCAGCAAAGGCGAAACAAACAGCGGTGAAAGAGTCAGACCCATCGACCTGCTTTGTGCATATCCAGACCACAGCGTAAATCCACAACAACTTCTTGCATTTTTATAGGCCCCCTCTTGCTGTCTAATATCTCAAGAGTGTTTATCGATTCGATAACATCTTATAAAAATGCGGTGGACGGATATTTGAGGAGGACGGGTTTGCAGGGTTATGGGGAAAGGGCTGGGGAGTAGGATTGACATTAATTGCTCTATTCAAAGAGCCGGCACAGACTCGATGGGCCGAATGGCCTCTTTTTGTGGTGTACGATTCTATGATAATATAGCAATAGTATAGTCCCTTAATGGTGTAGGCTCGCCTGACACGTGAACGGACCCGGGTTCGATTCCTGGGCAGGGTGAAACATTAGGCAAGTTTCCTTACTCCTCACGCCTCTGTTTTCCTACCAGTAAGTAGGAATAACCAGCCCGCCAATCGAATAACAACCGGGTTCCACTTACTGCTGGTTAAACAGAGGAGTAAGGAAACTTGCCTAAGGCTTCACTCTGCCCAGGAATTGAATCCAGGTCCTCTTGTTTGCGAGACGATGCTCTAACCACTGCAGTTTCAACGTACAGGTGGTGTATCGAAGTTGTATTATTAATATCGGGGCAAAATGTGTGTTTCATAACCAACACAAGGAACGCGTTATGAAACGTCGCAAATTGCTCCCCTCTACCGCGTTTCAGGGCAATCTGACTTTACCATCGCTGAGCACGGTTCGTGTCCAGAAATAATACCTCTCCCAGTTGGCCAGCTGACTCTGGCTGGCTTCCATCAGCAGGATGTCATCAATCTCATCTTCAATCCTGAATGGATGCTGAGATACGGGTTCATCCTGTGGACAGGTGTAAGGGCTCATATAGGGATGTGCCAGCGCCTCCTCTCCTGTCAGCCGGTCCATGGAGTTAAACGTCAGTATCTTCTCCAGGAAATCGATGGCTACCAAGAGCACAACAACAATAATAATAATAATCCTCGCATTTGATATAGTGCCTTATCATGTCGTTACGAGGTTTCAAAGCACTTCACAGAATATATTGTAAAGTAGATTAACTGTGTATTTTGTGGGCGAAACATGGAAGCCAATTACACAGAGCAGTGTCCCACAAACAGTTGTGGATTGAGTGACTAATTTATTTTTTTGAAGGAATTATTTCCCGAGGCCCCATCTGTGCCTGTTCCGCTGGATGTTACAAGATCCTGGGCACTATTCGAAAACAGTTTCTCACTGTGTCCTGGCCGACAATCCCCCAAATAAAATTGGTCACTCATCCATGACTGTCTTTGATTTTAAGAATTGAATGGTCCTATGGGCTAAGAGTACAACAACTCACACTAATATGACACCTTTTAAATAGAAGAACATTACAGAGGAGATCAAAGCATCTGAAAGCGCGCCCAAGGATGGTGGGGCGGAGGACGTGAGCAGGTCTGGTTCTGTTGCAGTGCAGGAAGCAAATGGTAGTGAATTGAAGGAGATCATAGAGGCAAGGTTAGCGGTGGGTGGGGGGGGGGTGCTGTGTAGGAGTCTTTGGAGCAATTTAATGATAAAAATATGAATCTTTTGAGTCTAGGCGCTCCAATACAGTGTTGGGGGAGCGCTGCATTGTTGGATGTGTCATCCCTGTGATGTGTTAAGGCTCATCAAAAATAAGGATAATTAGCATTATCCTAACACTTGTCTATAAATGGGTTCATGCCCTGGAACCTCCCTACCTGCTATCTCCCCACTCCACGACCCGCCGCTTCTGCTCAGCTGGCTCTAACCTCCTGCTTGTCCCTGGTCCCATCCGCTTCAGCATCAGTGGCCGTGCTTTTAGCCACTGATCCCCAAAGCTTTGCAACTCCCGCCCCCAATCTCTCTGTGAATGATTTACCTTCTGAATTGACTTCAAGCAGCAGTTTCCGGAGTGGCCTGGGCACGTCCCACTTGGGTCTGATGTACGCTGGCATAACACGGAGAAGCTCCTGCTTATCCTCCTCCCGGAGAACGGGAATGGTCTTCAGGATCAGCTGCATCTGTTCCAGCTCGTGAGACCCTGGGAAGACACGAGTAGGGGAGGGAGGGAAAGAGAGAGAGAGAGAGAGAGAGAGAGAGAGAGAGAGATAGGGAGAAAAACCACAGCATGTTAACAGAGGATGCTCCAGCTATGGGAAAACTTGTCATCTTCCTACGGGGCAGATTGTGCTTTCCACTATGGTTGGTGGGGAGCTCGGTGGGGGAGAAGGGGAGGAGGGTAAAATCGCTAGGTCTCCGTCAATCAGATCTCAGGAGGTGCCTGGATTAAAGACGGCCAAATGAAAGGTGTCAGAGGCACAAAAGTGACAACACGACCAAGGTTTGTGAGGATGTAGCTATCGGTGGAGGAAGCTTTTTTACGCCAGGATCCAAACATACAACAACAACTTGCATGTATATAGTGCCCTTCGCTCAGGGTAGTGCCTCGGAGCGCTCAACACTAGCAGTGCCTGGCGCCGAACCAGGGGAAGGGAGGAGGTGACCGTAAGCACGGTCGAAGAGGAAAGTCTTCAATTGGGATCTGAAAGAGGGAAGGAGGGGGCAAGATGGAGGGATTGAGGGAGACAATTCCAAAGTTTCGCACACTGCACCCTGAAGTTTTCCCTAAGATAAGCGGTGAAACTTCCAAGTTTATGTCTCAAGTTCATGTCCCACCCATCAGAACTATTCCATCATTGAGCTTTCCGGGGCAGAGAGAGTGAGGCTGGGGGAGTTGGCAGGTGGTGGGCAAAAGGGGAGGGAATCATCTCACCAGCAAAAAGCATCTTCCCGGTCAGCATCTCCCCCAGTATACAGCCAGCCGCCCACATGTCAATCGCCTTTGTGTAGTTGTTGGGCGACAGAAGGAGGCGAGGCGATCGATACCATTTTGTAACCAAACCTTCAGAAAGGTGACCCTGGAGATCGGAAAGGAGAGACATTAGACTATGTTCAAAACATCCCACCCCAGCACCTCCCTACCTCTCTGATCTACTCATACCTTATTCCTCTGACCTTGCTTAGCTAACACAGGCCTGGTATGTGTTCCCCCAACCCCTTCACGCCACAATCAGTGCACCTTAACCTCCCTGCCTCAATCCCTCTGCTTGAAGCGCACATTCATCTTTAAATCCACACTCTCCACAGTCTTGCTCCTCCCTACCTCTGTAACTTATTAAAACTTCATCAACCTGTCCTCTCCCTCCGCTCGCGGGACACCTGCCTGCTTCAGGTCCCCCGCACTTCCCGCCCCACCATTGGCGGTTGGGCATTCAGCATCTCTGCCCCCACACTCTGGAGCTCTGTCCTGCAATCCCTCCATCTAACCCCCTCCCTTGCCTCCTTCAAGGCCCATCTCAAGACAACAACAACAAAAAAAAATTACATTTATAGAGTGCCTTACACGTCGGAAGGACCTCCCAAAGCGCTGAACAGTCAGATGTCGGGGCCCGAGCATGGAGGAGAGGTGGTGTAGAGGTGAGGGAAGGCAGAGAGGTGGGAGGGAGACCAAAGGCACGGTCAAAGAGAAGGGTCTTGAGACCGGCCTTGAAGGAGGCAAGGGAGGAAGCGAGACGAAGGGATCCTGGGATGGAGTTCCAGAGTGTGGAGGCAGAGAGGCTGAAAGCCCGGCCACCGATGGTAGGGCAGGTCGGGCGAGAGACATGGAGCATTCCGGAGCCTGATGAGCGGAGGGAGCGGGCAGGTTGGTAGGAAGTCAGCAGGTCAGAGAGGTAGGAGGGGGCAAGGCCATGGATGGCCTTAAAGGTAAGGACGAGGATCTTGAACTCAATCCTCTGGGGGATGGGGAGCCAGTGGAGTCGGGCAAGGGTGGGAGTGATGGGATGGCTGAGCCTGGTGCGTGAGAGTACACGAGCTGCAGAGTTTTGGATGGTTTGGAAGACCCTCCTCTTTGACCGTGCCTTCAGTCACCCTCCTACCCCCACTCTCTCTGCCCGCCATCTAACCAACCCCCCCAGTTCAGGTGCAAATCCTTGACTGTCCACTGCCTTAGGATGTCCTCCTGACGTGAAAGGCACTTTAGAAATGTAATTTGTTGTTGTTGTTGCATTTGTCTACAAAATTCCTCTGTGTAGGTGGGATGCATGGAACTCAGTTTGGTTTGGATACTCTTAAGCATGGTGATGGGTTTCCATTTGTGTCAGATCAAAATAGATAGTGTATTATCAGAATATGATTAAATTTAAATTCAAGTTAAGTACACTAAGTGAAATTATTAATCTTAGATCTGACATAGTTATGTGCAACTTTAAAACTAAAATTGCTGAATCAATAGAATTAAATTATACTGTAATGCAATTCATCAACTGTACAGGTTATTTCGCCCACAAAATATACAGTCAATTCACTTTACAGTATATTCTGTGAAGGGCTTTGAGATGTCTCAAAGTGATATAAAATGCAATTTTTTTTATTTTTATGTGAAATACAGTCTCTACACTTTACAGTTATTTTCTGCCATGTGCACTATACTTTTATGATTTTATCCCTCAAGATAAAAAACCCAATAAGAATTTGGTCACTCAATCCACGACTGTTTGTGGGACACTGCTGTGCGCAAATGGCTGCCATGTTTCGCCCACAAATATACAGTCAATTCACTTTACAGTATATTCTGTGAAGCGCTTTGAGACGTCTAGAAGACGTGAAAAGCGCTAATTCAAATGCAAGGATTATTATTATTATTATTATTATTATGTGTTGGCTTTAGCCAACCTGCGCCTAACACTCTCCGGAATTAGGTAAGCAGGATGCGTCATTTGAGTTGAGGGAAAGATCGTTCATTCCAGACACAAGGAAATGTTTCTGTCCAGGTTGGATACATGGAACTCTGTTTGGTTTGGACACTAAATAAATAGTGTAATATCAGAGTATGATTAAATTTAAGTTCAAGTTAAATACAGTGAGTGAAATTATTAATCTTAGCTCTGACATGGTAAAACTAAAATTGCTGAATCAATATCATTCAATTATACGATAATGCAAATCATCAACTGTACAGATTGTGTCAGTCTGGCTCAGTTGGTAGCAATCTTGCCTCTGAATCAGAAGGTTGTGGGTTCAAGCCCCACATCTGGACTTGAAACTCGTATGGTCTAAGGTGGACATTAAAATTTGAGTTTGAATTTGACCTGAGTTCAATTCCAGGCAGAGGGCGAAACCTTGGGCAAGTTTCCTTACTCCACACAGAGCCTAATAATAATCCCTCCAAAACCAAAAACAATAATAAATTGGTCATTTTCAATCTACGACTGTTTGTGGGACATTGCTGTGCGCAATTGGCTGCCGCGTTCGCCCACAAATATACAGTCAATTCACTTTACAGTGTGTTCTGTGAAGCACTTTGGGACGTCGAGAAGACGTGAAAAGCACTGTATCAAATGTAAGGATTATTATTATTATTAAAATGGACTGCCTGTTCAGGTGGACATTAAAGATCCCATGGCAAAGATAAGAGTCTTTTTCTCTCTCCTCGTGTCCTGGCTGACAATCCACCAAATAAAATTGGTCATTCACTTCATGGCTGTTCGCAAGGTCATTGCTGTGCACAAAACTGTCTTGTCACATTTACTCACAAAACACAAAATCACTCTACTTTATACCTCATATTGTGAAGCCCACAAAACATACAGTCAATTCACTTTACAGTATATTCTGTGAAGCACTTGAGAGGTCTCGAAGACGTGATAAGGCACTATATTATATTACAATAATGCAAGGATTATCCTGTGAAGTGCTTTGGGACATCCTCCTGTTGTGAAAGGTGCTGTGAGATGTAAGAATTATTATTATTACAGAGGAGGGTTTGGGGTACCTCATTCTGGTGATAATATTCACAGGCACGGATGAGAGAGGAAAGAAAGAACTCGTGAATTTGCGACATTGACATCACAAACAGCTTCACAGGGAATTGACTGTGACTAATTGACGAGAGTAACTACATTTGAAGGCAAATCTAAGCAGCCAATTTACGCACAGCAGGAACCCAACATAGAGGGAAGATTCACTGGGACAGCACCAAAGAGCTTAGATCTGTGGAGAGACTTCACAAGTTCAGACTGTTCTCGTGAGAACAGAGAGGCAGTCGGGGAATCTAACCGAGGTTTACAAAAACATGAATGGAATTGAAAGGGAAAGCAGAGAGCAAGATAATAATAATAATCCTTCAATCTGATATAGCATTTTATCACGTCGTTGAGACGTCTCAAAACGCTTCACAGAATATATTGTAAAGATAGAGAGAGACTATTTCCAAGTGGTTGCAAATCCGTTTCGCTCACAAAATACAGTCAATTCACTTTACAGTATATCTTCTAAAGCACTTTGAGACTTTGCGATGGCATGAAAGGCTCTGTATCATTCGCGAGGATTATTATTAACAATTATCACCAGAAAGAGCGGAAATTGAAAGATTTAACACAGAGAAGGAGTTGTATAATACTGTATATATTAATGCTTGAAATTGATAGAGCACATTATCACATTGGAAGGATGTCGCAAAGTGATTCACCGGATTCTACCGTGGAATGGAGTGACTGTGTATTTGTAGCAGCCCAATTGCGCACAGCAATGTCCCACAAACAGCCACGAAACGATGACCAATTTTTATTTGGGGGATTGCTCGCCAGGACACCAGGAAAGAGAAACTCTCTTCTCTTTTCGAGTCGTGCCGTGGGATCTTTAACATCCACCTGAACAGGCAGACGGGAACTCAGTTGTTGGAATGAGAATATTTCTGACTACAAACGTAATGTTAAGATTAAAATCCTCAATTCGTTAGACAGAACGGACACCCTCTTAATTCAAGCGCTCATGTGAGGGACTTTGAGTTCGCAGTCTAGGCTGACACACCAATGTAGTGCTGCAAGGGTGGGGTTGGGCGGAGATGCAATGTCTTAGATACTTTGGATAAGACATTAAACCGAGATCCAGACTGTGCCTGTTCAGGTGGACGTTAAAGATCCCGAGACTCTTATTCGAAAAGAGGAAGGAGTTTCTCTTGGTGTCCCGTCCAAAAATCACCCCCACCCCCAATAAATAAAATTGTTCATTCTCTTCTCTTCATGGCTGTTTGTGGGATATTACTGTGCACAAAAATTGGCTGGTTTGACACAAGACAGTCACTACACGTCTCAGTTAAAAAAAATACACATTTTTTAAAAATCCTGCAAAGTGCTTTGACCTCAGCGTGATAAACTACAGACCTCCATAATAATACTTGCATTCAATATCACCCTTTTCACTCTGGGAGGACATCTCAAAGCTCTTTACCACAAAGTAACTGTATGTTATAGGCCACATAACCGTGGCCCACAAACAGCCATGAGGTGAATGAACGACTGTATTTGGCAACATCAATTCGAAGGGGGTTTGCAATCGCTTGCAAGATCTGCCTCGCTTGCGTCCTGTGACCTTCAGCACTTTATGTGGAGGCTGAATGGATTCCCTCTACCTGCTGGAACCAGACTGGGCCAAAAGAATAGCCTTGACTTGACGGAGGCACACTTGCTGTGGGACAATAAACACAAGTTCTTTGTTCTTCTGGTTAAAAAGAAAATCAGTGTTTGAAAAGGATTCAAGAATTCTATATGGGTGTGGGACAGGGCAGGATGGGAGAAATGTGCCCTATTATTATAATAACATAATTCATATGTAGTGATTGCAAATGTGACAGCCATTTTGTGCACCCAAGTCCCGCAAACAGTCAGGGGCAAATGACCGAATGATATGTCACTTTACGCTAAATGTTGCTGAGAGCTTTCAGATGTTCTCCTGAGGTGAGACGTGCTGTATCAAATTCAAGGATTATTATTATTACAATAAACTTCTGACCCCGAGTTCAAGATTTCTTAACTCTCTCTCTCTCTGTTGCTTGCGTCAGGAATCAATCCGGTTCCCT